TTATCCTTTATTCAATCCAATATCAATTTAGCTGTTTCCTTTTAATTTTTGCTTCTCCAACAGGAAACTTTATCAAGGTGACATTTTGTTCTTTTAGTTTTATCAACCAAGTGGCACATCTACTACTTGAATAGCATTATGTTAGGCAGTGGGAAGAATACAAAGACAAAGAACTTGAGGTTTCTGTCTTGGAGGAGGTGATAATTTAGCTGGAAGGACAAGCAAGGCACACCCAAAGGTTCCATAACGTTCAATAATAAAGAGCAGTGTGAACTAAAAAGATTTGCATTTATCCAGTTTATAAAAAGGATAAATAATCTGATGGGCATTCCAACTTTTGTTTTTGGAATTTCTGAGGTATCATAGTAATAAATGGTTCTGTTTTTTAGAAACAATAAACTCAGCATCTGTGAATATGAATCAACAGGCCAGACACGGTTGGAGGAAAAAACATGTTTAGAGTCAGAATACCTGAGCTTCTGGTGCATTCACTAGATTCTTCCTCTCTGGGCAGGGCATCTCTGAAAGATGATGCAGCCCCAATCAGGGGCTTATAGATAAAAATACCATCTCCCTGGGACAGAGCACCTGGAAGAAGGGGAGGCTGTGGGCACAGCTTCAGCAGACTTAAAAACATTCCTGCCTGCTGGCTCTGAAGAGAGCAGTGGATCTCCCTGCACAGTGCCCAAACTATGCTAGGTGACAGACTGCCTCCTCATGTGGGTCCGTGACCCCCATGCCTCCTGATTGGGAGACATCTCCCAGCAGTGGTTGACAGACACCTCATACAGGAGAGCTCTGGCTGACATTCGGCAAGTGCCCCTCTGGGATGAAGCTTCCAGAGGAAGGAGAAGGCAGCAATCTTTCCTGTTCCGCAGCCTACCCTGGTGACACCCAGGCAAACAGGGTCTGGATCCCCCAGCAAACTCCAGCAGACCTGCAGAAGAGGGGCATGACTGTTGGAAGGAAAACCATCAAACAGAAAGCAATAGTGTCAACATCAACAAAAAGGATGACCACACAAAAACTCCATCCAAAAGTCACCAACAGCAAAGACTAAAGGTAAATAATCCACAAAGATGAGGAAAAACCAACACAAAAAGTCTGAAAATTCCCAAAACCAGAATGCCTCGTCTCCTCCAAAGGATCACTCCTTTGGAGTGAACTCTCCACCCCAAATCAACAGAATATCCCTTCTTCTCAGCACCACATAGCACTTATTCTAAAATTGACGACATAATTGGAAAAAAACACTCCTCAGCAAATGCAAAAGAACAGAAATCATAACAGTCTCTCAAACCACAGTGCAATCAAATTAGAACTCAGGATTAAGAAGCTCACTCAAAACCAAACAACTACATGGAAACCAAACAGCCTGCTTCTGAATGACTACTGGGTAAATAGCAAAATAAGGGTAGAAATAAATAATTTATTTGAAACTAATGATAACAAAGACACATCATATCAGAATCCCTAGGACACAGCTAAAGCAGTGTTTAGAGGGAAATTTATAGCGCTAAATGCCTACAGCAGAAAGCTAGAAAGATCTAAAATCGACACACTAATATCACAATGAAAAGAACTAGAGAAGCAAGAGCAAAAAGTTCAAATGCTAGCAGAAGACAAGAAGTAATGATCAAAGCAGAACTGAAGGAGATAGAGACACGAAAAACCCTTCAAAAAATTGATGAATCCAGGAGCTGGTGTTTTGAAAAGACTGATAAAATAGATAGACTGCTAGCCAGACTAATGAAGAAGAAAAGAGAGAAGAACAGAATAGACACAATAAAAAATGATAAAGGGGAGATCACCAATGATCCCACAGAAATACAAACTACCATCAGAGAATACTATAAACACCTCTATGCAAATAAACTAGAATATCTAGAAGAAATGGATAAATTCCTGAACACATACACCCTCCCAAGACTAAACCAAGAAGTCAAATTCCTGAATAGACCAGTAACAAGTCTGAAATTGAGGCAGCAATTAATAGCCTATCAACCAAAAAAAGCCCAGGACCAGGTGGATTCACAGCTGAATTCTACCAGAGGTACAAGGAGGAGCTGGTACCATTCCTTCTGAAACTATTCCAATCAATAGAAAAAAAGGGAATCCTCCCTAACTCATTTTATGAGGCCAACATCATCCTGATACCAAAGCCTGGCAGAGACACACACAAAAAAGAAAATTTCAGGCCAATATCCCTGATGAACATCAATGCAAAAATCCTCAATAAAATAATGGCAAACCAAATCCAGCAGCACACAAAAAAGATTATTCACCACGATCTAGTCAGCTTCACCCCGGGGATGCAAGGCTGATTCAACATATGCAAATCAATAAATGTAATCCATCACATAAACAGAACCAATGACAAAAACCACATGATTTTCTCAATAGATGCAGAAAAGGTCTTCAATAAAATTCAACACTTCTTCATGGTAAATACACTCAATAAACTAGGTATTGATGGACCATATCTCAAAACAATAAGAGCTATTTATGACAAACCCACAGCCAATATCATACTGAATGGGCAAAAGCTGGAAGCATTCCCTTTGAAAACCAGCACTAGACAAGGATGCCCCCTCTCACCACTCCAATTCAAATAGTATTGGAAATTCTGGCCAGGGCAATCAGGCAAGAGTAAGGAATAAAGGGTATTGAAATAGGAAGAGAGGAAGTCAAATTATCTCTGTTTGCAGATGACAGGATTGTATATTTAGAAAACCCTACCTTCTCAGCCCCAAAACTCCTTAAGCTGATAAGCAACTTCAGCAAAGTCTCAGGATAGAAAATCAATGTGCAAAAATCACAAGCATTGCTACATACCAATAATAGACAGAGAGCCAAATCATGAGCAAACTCCCATTCACAATTGCTACAAAGACAATAAAATACCTAGGAATGTAACTTACAAGGGATGTGAAGGACTTCTTCAAGGAGAACTACATACCACTGCTCAAGGAAATAGAGGACACAAACAAATATTCCATGCTTATGGACAGGAAGAATCAATATCGTGAAAATGACCATACTGCCCAAGGTAATTTTTAGATTCAATGCTATTCCCATCAAGCTACCATTGACTTTCTTCACAGAATTAGAAAAAAACTACTTTAAATTTCACATGGAGCTAAAGAAGAGCTCATATACCCAAGACAATCCTAAGGAAAAAGAACAAAGCTGGAGGCATAATGCTACCTGACTTCAAACTATACTACAAGGTTACAGTAACCAAAACAGCATGGTACTAGTATCAAAACAGATATATAGACCAATGGAACAGAACAGAGGCCTCAAAAATTATACCACACATCCACAACCATATGATCTTTGACAAATCTGACAAAAACAAGCAATGGGCATAGGATTCCCTCCATAATAAATGGTGTATCGTCATATGACTAGCCATATGCAGAAAACTGAAACTGGACCCCTTCCTTACACCTTACAAAAAATTAACTCAAGATGGATTAAAGATTTAAACATTAGACCTAAAACCATAAACGTCCTACAGGAAAACCTAGGCAATACCATTCAGGACATAGGCATGGGCAAAGACTTCATGACTAAAACACCAAAAGTAATTGCAACAAAAACCAAAATTGACAAATGGGACCTAATTAAACTAAAGAGCTTCTGCACAGCAGAAGAAACTATCATCAGAGTGAACAGATAACCTACAGAATGGGAGAAAATTTTTGCAATCTATCCATCTGACAAAGGGCTAATATCCAGACTCTACAAGGAACTTAAACAAATTTACAAGAAAAAACAACCCCATCAAAAATGGGTGAAGGATATGAACAGACACTTTTCAAAATATGACATTTATGCAGCCAACGAGCATATGAAAAAAAGCTCATAATCACTGGTCATTACAGAAATGCAAATCAAAACCACAATGAGATATCATCTCATGGCAGTTAGAATGATGATCACTAAAATGTCAGGAAACAATAGATGCTAGGGAGGATGTAGAAGAATAGGAACACTTTTACACTGTTGGTGGGAGTGTAAATTAGTTCAACCATTGTGGAAGGCAGTGTCGCAATTTCTCAAGGATCTAGAAGTAGAAATACCGTTTGACCCAGCAGTCCCATTACTGGGTATATACCCAAAGGATTGTAAATCATTCTGCTATAAAGACACATGCACATGTATGTTTACTGCAGCACTATTCACAATAGCAAAGACTTGGAACCAACTCAAATGCCCATAAATGTTAGATGAGATAAAGAAAATGTGGCACATGTACAACATGGAATACTATGCAGCCATGAAAAAGAATGAGTTTATGTCCTTTGCAGGGACATGGATGAAGCTGGAAACCATCATTCTCAGCAAGGTAGCACAGGAACAGAAAACCAAACACCACATGTTCTCACTCATAAGTGGGAATTGAACAGTGAGAACATATGGGCACAGGGAGGGAAACATCACACTCTGGGGCTTGTCAGTGGTTGGGCAGCAAGGGAAGGCATAGCATTAGGAGAAATACCTAATGTAGATGATGGGTGCAGCAAACCACAATGACATATGTATACCTATGTAATAAACCTGCATGTTCTGCACATGTATCCCAGAACTTAAAGTATAATAAAATATATGGAGAGGTGGTGGGAATAGGTGGGGAGGCCACAGTGGTATGCACAAGACTGCAAAGGGAGAAGTAGGTGAAAGATGAGTGGGAGATATGAAGTGATGACAACTAGTCCCCTTTTTGGAGATGGTTGCTCACATCAAGGTAAATGACAGGAAACGACACATAGAGTTTTCTGTCTTATAATGTGCTTTTGTATCTCAATGCCTTTTTCTCCTTTCAGAACATACATTACTGAAAGGCAGGAAATATGTGTTTGCTTGGAGATAAAATACAGGGGCTTCCTAGTAAGCTGGACTAAATTACTCAAAATGTCTTGAGGATGTTATCTCATATGAGATGACAGCTTTTTATAGTGGGTGGCTGTTGCCTGTGAAAATACCCCAAAAGATAATGTCTTAAGAGAACAATTTTATTTTGCTCATGATTTTGTAGGTCAAGATCTAGGCTTTTCTGGATCCAGAGAAGTCATTTACATGATAGCTCACTCTCTTAAAAGGCAAATTGGTACTGACTGTTGTCTGGGAACACAGCAGGACTTCAGTCTGGAACTCCCAGTTCTTCTCAATGTGGGCTTCCCCACGGGATGCTTGGTCTTCCTCACAGCATAGTGGCTGGGTTTCAAGAGCGATTATTCTAAGAGACAGGTAGCGGAAGCTGTCAGTTTCATAAGGCCTAGGCACAGAAACAGGTACAGTGTCACTTCTGTAGTTTTGTATTGATTAAAGCAATTGCAGAACATACACACAATCTAAAAGGAAAGGGCATAAATCCCCTACACCTCCATGGTTAGGTTGAAATGCTAAATGAAAAAAAGTGTGTTATTCCTACTCGATTGTCAATAATTTTTATATTTTAAGACTCTCTTGGGTTTACTCCACCTAACACAGTACCTTAAGTTGTCATTGTTAAAGTTAATTCAAAGTTAAATTGAACAATGATTTTATATGGCTCGATATTTGAGGGAAAGTGTGAAAGATGTTTTTCTAAAATTGACAGAGAATAAACTGGATAGGATCTTTCCTATCTTGATTGTTTTACTCCAAGAAGTCCATGTTACTTCCCCAAACACATTTTCCTTTCATTGCAGCCATGGTTGAGTGGCCAACTAGACATTTGCTGTAAAAATCAGAGAGGAAGAAATTGCTTTAATAGATTCAAAGTCAGGCAAGAATATTTCCTGCATCGTGAGCCACTAAGCTGCAGGTATTCCAGACTGCTGCCTGTTGGAGATTCCCAAACAAATCTGATGGCCCATAAAGGCAAGACAGGCTTCAGGCCAACCTACAAGGTAGAACTGTCAGAAGAGTTTTAAAAATGAGTCATGCAGTGTTGATTTTAACTCAATGTTGTGCTTAGGTATGGAAAAACCACTCATCATTATTTCACTGATAAAACCGTGCTCAGTGCTCAGCTGGTGTACAGCCTTCTGAGGCTCATGGGACATCTATCATTCATTTTTGTCTGTACTGGTTAATGCTGTTCAGAGAAGAGTATTCTAAGATAAAAATTTTGTTTTAGAAAACAGAGGTTGATAAACAAGTCTGAAAGCAAAGTAGGACTAACAGCTTATGGCTACCTAGAGACAGGGCTTAGTAATCCCTGCATAGTGTGGCAATTCTTCCTTTATCCAGAGGGTCAGGAACACTTTTCAGAGTGAAATGGGTCTCTGAATTTGGGCAAGATTAGGAAAGCCCTGTCCCCGGGAATGAAAGGGATATTTGCATTTAAACATATTTTTAATTTTTGTGGGTACATAATAGGTGTATATGTTTTATGGGTTACACAAGATATTTTCATGCAGGTGTGCAATACAATAATCGTCACATAAGGGTAAATAGGGTATCCATCACCTCGAGCATTTATCCTTTGTGTTTTACAATTCAATTATGCCCTTTTAGTTATTTTAATTGGATCAGAAATGAGATGAGGAAAAAGGCATTAATTATGAGGCCTGTGATACTATCTTTCGGATGGCCTCAGTTAAAAGTTGGAAACTTAACCTTATGAGAAATGAAACCTAAAAAGATGAAATGCAAAGAAAGGAAGAACTGACATCTAACTTCAGCTGGAGATATTTCTTCCCTGCCTGCAGCCTTTCCTACTGATAATGAACTGTTTATCTCCCAGCCTTGGCGTTATAGGACTGTGCTTGGAATTCTGAAAACTACTGTCTCCCTTCACCAGCTGGCTCCTATTGGGCGCTATTATTATGGGCAACTAGAGAAAAACTGAAAGGCTGAAGGAGGAAAAGGAGATCGTGGTTTCTTTTTGTTTCTTGATCCTTTCAGGACTACAATAGCAATGGAGCTTCACTCTGAACGCAGTAATTGCTTCCAATAGCACCAGGTGGCTCCAGTTTCCATTTGCTTTTTTATATTCTTGCACCAGCCTTGTTGCATCTCCCCGGATTACCAGCAGTAAACGGATGGTCCTCTCCTCGTAAGTCTCAGTCCTAGCTCTGCAGGGGCCCTCCTCTGAGCTCTGGAGGTACTAGGCCAGCTAGCAGCTCCCCTTCCTCAAAGGTTTATGTCCAGGTGGTCAGTATTTTTCTTCCAAGCTTCTAAGTTCTTAGGACCTTTGGATGAGTAGCTGCTTTTGAAGTACCATTTCTTGGTGTCTCACTGTTTGCTTTTTGCCTTATTCCTTTTATCCTATTCACAAATTCTTTATATTAAACCTCCATTAAGATCACTGATGCGTATGACTGTGACTGATATCTCTATTTTGTAGGAATGTTTACAGTAGGCCCTAGTGCTACACTGATTTTGCTACAGAGGTGCAGAGCCTGAAGCTTTCCTTTTTCACTAAGATACAATGGTAATGTTAACCCATAAGTATTGCCATAGTACAGTTACTAATCAACCAACTAAGCATGCTGAAGGAGGGAAACAGGTTGAATTATTTAGAGGGGTCATTATTTAATTGTTTTGAATTTCTGGACAGACCTGGCACTCTAAGGGCCAGCATTTTTCCCATGAAATTCTCTTTATAAACATTTTACTCTTGCTTCCACTCCCCCGCTGTAGGTGCCACGGTTGCTGGCTTATGTGTATGACTCTAGGACTCCATTTTGTCCTTGAGTCCTATTGGTACTCTTCCTTGTATTTAAGAGATGGATGAAGAGAAGTGGAATAGGGAAGGAGAATAGGCATAGATTTCCTGAGTCATTAGGGTGTGGCACCATTAGGAAGACAAAGTTTCCAGACCGCAGATCCATAGTGTGTACATCAAGAAATTCACAGGAGGTACATCTGAGTTAAATCTTGAATGATGAACTGGAGTTTACAAGATAAAAAGGGAGGAGGAGATAGCTTGGTTCAACTCGAAAATATATATCCAAATATCTGGATAGAAGGAGCAAGACTGTAACATTTCGGCAAATTGTTGCATAGCAGAGGGGAAGGACAAAATTAAATTGAATTTCTGTCACATCTGTTTTCCAAACACAGAAGACATGCTGGGAACTGACTATTGTTTGTATAAAATGTACTTTTAAGTAGGCTTCAGGATATATAAAATTTTAATTGACTTCCATCACAGTATATATATTTCCCTGTTTACTAATTATTTTGGGTAGATATGTCTTACTTTCCCACTTAGATTTCAATTAGAGACAGTATTAAATACTATTTTGTATCCATCTAGCAAAACTTTACAGAGTGACACATAAACGACTTAGTAGATGCATATGAATTTAATAAATAAAAAAATTAATGAAACTTTAAAAACCCCATATTGTGTCATGAAAATGGCCTGTTGAGACTAGTATTCTATTTTGGAAAAAAAGGAATCTGTTTTATTTTGTGGTACAGGTCTCAAAAGGTAAGGAATATACCACTTCATCCAAAGTTCTCAAGAGTTCTCTGAAATACATCCTTACGACAATGTGAACATACATGTAGTTAATGATTGAATCAGGAATGATTTTCAAAATATAATTGGAAGACAGTTTTTTTTTTAACTTGTCATAGAGGGGTTTGAATATAGTAAAATCATTTAGTTAATCTTTGCCACTTTGGGGGTGTTCAGCTTCCACATCTGCTTCATAATGTTATCTTCATCTTAACTTGGAGATCACTTACTTGAAGGCAGCGTCCATCTCCAGGTGTGGAAGCCAAAGATGTTTCCTCTTTCTTCATCTTGATGGAATCAGGTGGTAAAACTATGACATACACTTGAACAACAGGTATTCTTTTGTAAGATTTTAGATCTTGAGCAAGTGATATCACAATACAGAGTCTGTTAGAGTTGTCTGACATCCCCTGGTTATCTTCTGCATAGCTGTCCAGAGCTTACTTGGGACCTGTCAGATTTTCAAGCTGGTCTTCTACTAGTGCAATATAATTCCAATCAATTCTGTCTCTCTTGTTACTTCGGATGATTTTGTCATGTTCTGTTGTTTACAATCAGATGCCTAGATGATATAGATGGTGTTTAAAATATAAGAGAACATACAGGTCTATGTTCTCTTATAATTTTATCCTTATTTAAACCTGATTGTTTTAAAGAAGTATAAATACTTCAAAGTAGAATTTTGACCCACAAAAAGAGTATTTCTGTCTTTAATTTCAACCATCTGTGACAAGTTTCCCACTGGATGCAAAGGTTGTTGAAAGGTATTGTAAATGTCTGCAAGTGACACACACATTTTTGGATGGAGATTTCGGGATTTCCCCAGTGAATGTCATGAGCTGTCCAGATGGTACCTTGATAGCCACTCAGCAGAGTCCTCTAACGATAACAATTAACAGCTAATTACATTTAATGCCTTGAAAGGAGTCCAGTCACATTTGTTTGATCGGAAATCAATCCCTGGGTAGATCCAGAAGAGAGAAAAGAGTTCCAGCACAGCCATCTGGATACTCTTTTCCCTGCCACTTTTGCCACTGAAGAGGGTTTAGGGATGTCCATGACTCCTCTTGGAATATATATGCTGCTTCTGGAAGCTGTTTAAAGAATGGGACTTGCTGAATTAAAAAGAGAAAAATTGGTTTTTGTCCCATCAAAGGCAAGAGTCAAGTTGGATAAAAATTCTGTTTAGATGGAGAGGACAAGAGAAAAAGCTTAGAAAGCCTGCCCTAGACATTTGTGGTGATTCTAGGAGTTACGGCATACAAAACTATGCTGAAACAAAGTTGGAGCATAATTACTGCAAATGATGAATTCAAAGAAACATATGTTGCTTCTTCCCATATCATAAGCACAATCTCTCTTTACATAGCATATACATGGGAAGTGAGCATTATAATGAAACTTAATCAAGTTATAGACTCATAGTTTAATTCTCATAGAAGCTAGTATGGAACATACAGCTTTCAATATATGTCATTTACTTCCCATTCAGAGTGCTAACTCTGCCTACTTGACCCGCATAACTAAGGCCAAGCTCTTCCTCACTGGGAAACAACTGACCATGTAGAGATCATCCATCCAGGAACCATGTCTTGGTGTACCTTATAACTGAGTCCAGAATCTAGATAGTTGAATCATTGTAGGCAGCATATGACTGAGGGGTGAGATGCAATCAAATTATAGTTATTCCCCTCTGGAAATGGCCTCAAAACACAGTGGAGGGCCCTCAAACCCTAAGAGGCCATGTCTGTGTTGCTGAACCCCATGCTTTTGGTCAGATAACTAATTCAAGCTGGACCAATTAGATGTTATTTCCTGGAAATCTGAATCTTAGAGAAGGGAGGCAGAGAGACTTAGGGGTTTTGGAGCTGGGTCACCAAAATGGCAATACTTTAGAAGAAAAGTTCTTCCTGTATATTTTTATGTGTACTTCAAGCATAGCTTTTTAAAAAGTGTATTTTCATGGGTACTGATGTTTTTATCTTTTTGAGGGGGCTAGAGTTCTACAATTTCAATTTCAATTTTCAAAAATTATTAAGGTTTATAGCAGTCAATTCAGGATAGGTTAACACTAACTTCATAGTACATATCCATTAGGGTCAGTTGGGAGCTGTGCTCTATTGGTCCTCAAACAGAACCATCTGGAATGATGCCAGCCACTGCAGCATACCCTTAAATACTTCTGTTCAGGTTTTATTAGTTAATGCAAGTCCCATAAGCATGAATTCAAGAGTGTTAGGGAACACAGTCCTATTACGTCCTGTAATGACAAAAAATAGAAATACTGGAAATATTGATTAATGGCACTAATGTAATGTATCAGTAGCAGGATTTTTTGTTTCCTGGTTTATCTATGGTCAGAGGATATTTCCTGTAATCTTTAAACTTTGTAAATTTGGAATTTATTGGAGTTTGCTAAGTGGTTGAATATATAGTCAATTTTTGTGACTGTTTCATGGACAGGAGGGCATGTTACCTCCTGTTCATGAAACAATGCCTCCTAAAAAAAAAGTACATTTCCTATATTTGGGGTATAGAATTATATCTATATATCAATTACATCTACTTTTTATATATGATACTTAGTTTAAAAAAATGTTTTCTGTCCATTTGATTTGCTGTGAATTAATAGAGGAAATGTAAATCTGTGATTTCATTATTATTTTTTAAGAGATGGGGTCTCATTCTGTTACGCAGGCTGGTGCTATCATAGCTCAATACAGCCTTGAACTCCTGGGCTCAAACTAAGTGATTATAGTCGCTTGCCACCACATGCAGCTAATTTATTTTATTTTTTGTAAAAGCAGGGTCTTACTTTGTTGCCCAGACTGGTCTCAAACTCCTGACTTTGAAGCAGTCTTCCCACCTTGGCCTCTAAAAGTGCTGAAATTACAGGCATGAGGCACCACGCCCAGCTTCAATCTGTTATTTTAAATTATTTTCATTTATTGATCTTTGTATCTTCTTTGATTGCTGCTTTATAAATATTATTTAGAGCATATATTTGTAACTCGTATATCTTCATTATAAATTGTGCATTTTATAATTATAAAGCACTCTATTTTTATAATTTTATGCATTTTCCCTTGAATTCACTTATTTGATACTAAGATCATAATCTCTAATCTCTTTTAAACACATGCTTGCCAAGTGTTCTCCCCCACTACTGATAGGTTACCTATAATTTCCATCTTGATCCATTGATTATTCTCTCTTCCTTGACATATCATTTTTTTGTCTTCTAGAGTATAATATTAGGTAGTTTTTCTTCTACCTTACTAGTTGCTAATTTTTTCCCGTCTTATTTTTACTATTTTCTTATCATCTCCCTAACCCATTAGATTAGTTGGCGTGCTTGAAGGCTCAGTTCCTGAAACTCTTGCCTTCTCTATTTTTACTAATTCTTTTGGTTGATGCCTTTTAACCTCTGACTTGAATGCCAGCTATCTTCTATCAGTCAAGGGTTCAATCAGAAGACAGATATCATAGCAGTTATTTCGACAGAAGGAATTTAATATAAAGAATTATTAATTAGGCATAGATTTATTGACTATATCACCAGTGACTATTATTTTGAGATATTGGGCCACATTTTCAGCAAGTATTGCTTTCAAAGAAAGGGCTAAGTTTGAGCAATTTAAGGTGTTATTTCCCAATGTAATTTTTATTTTCTCACATGTGAGCTATATTGATGCCTGAGAAAGCACTGAGTGTGTTTGAGTATGTAGATTATAACAGCTATCCTCTATGCACTGGCACAAACTCTCTTGCTCCTTTTTTTTTCTTTCATCATGCTATTTCATCACCAGTGTCTTCTTTTTAAGAAGATGAAGTCCAAAAGTTACATATTCTTCAGCTATTTTTATAGATACACAAATCATAACTGGGTTTGACTTTAGTGACAACTGTAGTCAATAATCTAATGTTCAGAGTGGGAAAAGTAGAACAGAAGCTTCTCTTACAAAATTGTAACTTAAGACTGGCTTCTATCTGGGCATGCTAAGGGGTGATATTCAAAATATGTAATAACTGATATGATAATATAAATTAATGTGTAAATAAAATGCATTTAAAATTTTTTCTATTCTCTAAATTAGACGTGTGTGACACACATCTATAATTATACAACTGCATACTTAGTTATATAAATCATTCATCAAATTTAATAATTTCAAATCAGTTATTATTTGTTTAGAAGGCAATAGCATAATCTTTTGTTTGTCATGATTTCACTGAGTTGCTCCTGTCTGAGTCCAGATTTAATATTGTGAGCCACATAGCAGTGTTCCAATGACTTCTCTGATAGGTAGTTCCCCTTATCTGTCTGAAAATATTAAATGGAAAATTCCAGAAATAAATGATTCATATGTTTTAAATTGCACACTATTCTGGTTAGTGTGATGAAATCTTGTGCCATCCTGGTCTGCCCTGCCAGGGATGTGAATCATCCCTTTTTCCAGCATGTCCACACTATATAAACTACCTGCTCATTTGTTGTCAATACTGTCTGCTCCAGACATCCAACCATCGACCCTATCATGACTCCTTCAACCAGACTCACCCAAAGCAGATGCTCCTACTTCTGATGTATCATCACAGGGTCAGTAGTAGCCTAACACTATGTCACAATGCCTACATCATTCACCTAACTTCATAGCATCACACAGGCATTTTATCATCTCACATCACCACAAAAAAAAATGAGTACAGTAAAATAAGATACCCTGAGAGAGAAAAAGAGAAAGACCGTATTCACATAATTTGTATTATAGTATGCTGTTATAATTGTTCCATTTTAGTATTAGTTACTGTTGTTAATCTCTTACCATGCCTAATTTATACATTAAACTTTTTTCTTTTTCTTTTTCTTTTTTTTGAAACGGAGTTTTGCTCTTGTCACCCCGACTGGAGTGCAATGGTGTGATCTCGGCTCACTGCAACCTCTGCCTCCCGGATTCAAGCGAATCTCCTGCCTCAGCCACTCAAGTAGCTGGGACTACAAGTGCCTGGCACCATGCCTGGCTAATTTTTGTATTTTTAGTAGTGATGGGGTTTCACCATGTTGGCCAGGCTGGTCTTGAACTCCTGACCTCAGGTGATCCACCTGCCGTGGTCTCCCAAAGTGCTGGGATTACAGATGTGAGCCACCACACCCAGCCAAATTTATAAATTAAACTTTACCATAGGTATTTGTGTAGGTATAAGAAAAAAACATAGCATATGTAAGTTTCAATACTATCCACATTGCAGACATCCACTGGAGGCTTAAAACATATCCCCCACAGATAAGGGGGATAAGAGCTACAGTAAATGGAAGGTGAGTAGGTACCTGGCACCTGTTACTTTTGTATCTTTTGTGCTGGCTGCCTTGCCTTCATGTGCATATCCGGAGAGCCTGAGTTTCAATCAGACTCTGGCTATCACTGTCATCAACTAGTGACGACAATGTTGCTGCCAGTGTGTGTTTCTGCCATCTGCTCTGCTACCTTGTCCTTGCAAATCTTGAACTACTTTAAAATAGCAGGTGGGACCAGAAAATGCTACTGGCACTATTGCTGCCACCAGCTCAGCAGCCACCAGGAGCATCCCATGTCTATACTGGCAAGACTTGCAGGCTCAATTTCCTGCCTTTGTTGATGCTATGCGAGATTATTAGATGGAGTTTTTCCTCAGTAACCTATGTGGCAGAATTTTAGATTTCAGTATAGCATGACTTTACTGGTATAAACTGGTTGAATAGCAGTTGTAGGTATATTGCCTGTGTCAATTAGAAGGAAGTTCAGCTGCATGTAACAGATACATAAACAAGCTAGACATTTACTTTTTGTTGTTGTTGTTGAGAAAGTCTAGAGATAGGGAGTTTGGGGCTAGTATAGTGGCCTGAATAGTTTATACAAATCTCAAGTTTTTTCTTTTGATGTTCTTTCATCCATGGCATTCTGTTCATGGTTCAAAATAGCTGCTCAAGCTCAAGTCCTCATGTCATATTCCAGGCTTCAGGAAAGAGGAAAATGGAGAGGAGACAGATATGATGTCTCCTTTAAGAAGACTTCACAGGAGCCTCACACAATATACGTCACAGGTAGGAGCAAGGTAGGCTGGAAAATGGAGTCTTTAGGATGCCAAGTTTCTAGCTCATAATCAAGGTGATAGCTAAAGACTAAGTTTGGAGACAATTTGCATCCTGTTACATTGCTCTTTAAATCATGCCCCTGTTTCCTTAAGGTTGATATAAAAAGCACAAGGGAATGAAGATGCAGATGGAAAACATGGAATGCTCATTTAAGCTACAGTTTCAAGGCATTTTGATTCTGGGTCATGAACTTTTGAAAACATTTTTTCCAATGCCCATATCAGAAAGCTAGAAAGATCTCAAACTGACACTATAACTTCACAATTAAAAGAGCTAGAGAAGCAAGAGCAAACAAATCCAAAAGCTAGCAGAAGAGAAGAAATAACTAAGATCAGAACAGAGCTGAAGGAGCTAGAGACATGAAAAACCCTTCAAAAAATCAATAAATCCAGGAGCTAGTTTTTTGAAAATATTAACAAAATAGACCACTAGCTAGACAAATAAAGAAGAAAAGAGAAGAATCAAATAGACACAATAAAAAATGATAAAGGGGGTATCACCACTGACCCCACAGAAATACAAACTACCATCAGAGAAAACTATAAACATCTCTCTGAAAATAAACTAGAAAATCTAGAAGAAATGTATAAATTCCTGGACACGTACACCCTCCCAAGACTAAACCGGGAAGAAGTCGAATCCCTGAATAGACCAATAACAATTTCTGAAATTGAGGCAGTAATTAATAGCCTACCAACCAAAAACAAACAACAACAACAACAACAACAAAAACAAACAAAGAAACAAACAAACCCCAGGACCAGGTGAATTCACAGCCGAATTCTACCAGAGGTACAAAGATGAGTTGGTGCCATTCCTTCTGAAACTATTCCAAACAATTGAAAAGGAGGGACTCCTTCGTAACCCATCTTATGAGGCCAGAATCATCCTGATACCAAAACCTGGCAGAGATACAACAAAAAAATAAAACTTCAGGCCAATATCCCTGATGAACATTGATGCAAAAATCCTCAATAAAATACTGGAAAACTAAATCCAGCAGCACATCAAAAAGCTTATTTACCACGATGAAGTCAGCTTCATCCTTGGGATGCAAGGCTAGTTGAACATACGCAAATCAATATAACGTAATCCATTACATAAACAGAACCAAAGACAAAAACCACATGATCATCTCAATAAATGTAGAAAAGGCCTTCAATAAAATCCAACATCCTTCATGTTAAAAACTCTCAATAAATTAGGTATCGATGAAATATATCTCAAAATAATAAGAGCTATTTATGACACACCCACAGTCAATATCATACTGAATGGGCAAAAGCTGGAAGCATTCCCTTTGAAAACCTGCACAAGAGAAGAATGCCCTCTGTCACCACTTCTATTCAAGATAGTATTGGAAGTTCTGGCCAGGGCAATCAGGGAAGAGAAAGAAATAAATGTTATTCAAATAGGAAGAGAGGAAGTCAAATAGTCTCTGTTTGCAGATGACATGATTCTATATTTAGAAAACCCTATCATCTCAGCCCCAAATCTCCTTAAGCTGATAAGCAAATTCAGCAGTCTCAGGATACAAAATCAATGTGGAAAAATCAATTCCTCTACACCAACAATAGACAGCATAGAGCCAAATCATGAATGAACTCCCATTCACAGTTGCTACAAAGATAATAAAATACCTAGGAATATAGCTAACAAGGGATGTAAAGGACCTCTTCAAGAAGAACTACAAGCCACTGCTCAAGGAAATAAGAGAGAACACAAAGAAATGGAAAAACATTCTATCCTCACAGATAGGCAGAGTCAATATCGTGAAAATTGCCATCCTGCCCGAAGTAATATAGAGATTCAATGCGATTCTTATTAAACTACCATTGACATTCTTCACAGATTCAGGTAAAACTACTTTAAATTTCATTTGGAACCAAAAAAAGACCCTGTGTAGCCAAAACAGTCCTAAGCAAAAAGAACAAAGCTGGGGGCATCATGCTACCTGACTTCAAACTATCTACAATGCTACAGTAACAAAAACAGCATGGTACTTGTACCAAAGCAGACATATAGACCAGTGGAACAGAACAGAGACCTCAGAAATAACACCACACATCTACAACCATCTGATCTTTGACAAATTGGACAAAAACAAGCAATTGGGAAAGGATTCCCTATTTAATAAATGGTCCTGGGAAAACTGGGCTAGCCACATGCAGAAAACAGAAACTGGGCCCTTTCTTTACACCTTATACAAAAATTAACTCAAGATGGATTAAAGACTTAAATGTAAAATCCAAAACCATAAAAGCCCTAGAAGAAAACCCAGGCAATACCATTAATGACATAGGCATGGGCAAAGACTTCATCACTAAAATGCTGAAGCAATTGCAACAATAGCCAAAATTGATAAATGGAATCTAACTAAACTAAAGAGCTTCTGCACAGCCAAAGAAACTATCATCAGAGTGAACAGGCAACTTACAGAATGGGAGAAAATTTTTGCAATTTACTCATCTGACAAAGATCTAATATCCAGTATCTACAAGGAACTTAAACAAATTTATAAGAAAAAACCAGACAACCCCATCAAAAAGCGGGCAAAGGATATGAACAGACACTTCTCAAAAGAAGACATTTATGTGGCCAAAAAACATGAAAAAAGCTCACCATCACTGGTCATTAGAGAAATGGAAATCAAATCCACAAGGAGATATTACCTCATACCAGTCAGAATGGCAGTTATTAAAAAGTCAGGAAACAATAGATGCTGACAAGGCTGTGAAAAAATAGGAATGCTTTTACACTGTTGATGGGAATGTAAATTAGTTCAACCATTGTGGAAGACAGTGTGGTGATTCCTTTAGGATATAGAACCAGAAATACCATTTGACCCAGGAATTGCATTACTGGATATATAGCCAAAGGAATATAAATCATTCTACTATAAAAACACATGCACATTTATGTTTATTGCAGCACTATTTACAATAGCAAAGACATAGAACCAACCAAAATACCCATCAATGATAGAATGTATAAAAAAATGTGGTACATATACACCATGGAACACTATGCAGCCATAAAAAGGAATGAGATCATGTCCTTTGTCGAGACATGGATGAAGCTGGAAGCCATCATCCTCAGCAAACTAACACAGGGACAGAAAACCAATCACCACATTTTCTCACTCACAAGTGGGAGGTGAACAATGAGAACACCTGGATACAGGGAGGGGAACAATGTACACTGGGGTCAGTCGGGGCATAGTGATCAAGGGGAGGGAAAACATTAGGAAAAATGGTTAATGCCTGAGGGGCTTAAAACCTAGATGAAGGGTTGATAGGTGCAGCAAACCACCATGGCACACGTATACCTGTCTAACAAACCTACACGTTCGGCACTTGGATCAGGGAACTTAAAGTGAAATAACAAACAAAAAGAAAATATTTTTTAGGAGCAACTTTCTTCCATCAGTGCTCTAAAAGATCTTCAT